GCCGAGCGCCAGATAGGATATCAACTCTGGTTCTTTGTTGATGATGATGGGACTATTTCAGCATTGTCAATTATGAACTCTTGGTGTGTTCTTATTTGGTGATTCTCGTGATGCAATGCTGCTGTTGGTTCGAGGTCAAGACTATCTGGACTCATATGTATGATGCTGTTTGATTGCTGAAGTTCGCTATTGCTCATCTTCCTTGCACACCTGTCCGGGGATCAGCAACCTGTTTCTTAATCTGCCCCGATTCTCTCTGTGCCTCCTCCACAGGTTGTTGCTGTTCCTTTGTTTCAAATGGCAATATCCACTCATATTCCTCCTGCAGACAGTCCAGCTTCCTGCAGGCAGCCACGTCACCATGTTTTATACCCTGCGACGTTAGATATTCACAACTCGCTTGTACAACACGATGTGGTCCCTGCCCAGAGTACACTCCCAACTCCAAGGACAGTCCCTACTCAGGATGCAGCCCTAAACGTTAAGGGATTGGAACATGACCTGCCCGGATTGCAGTTGACCCACAAGGCATATAGACCACATGGGGGATCTGCAAAGGGCTGACCAACATTGTTCGGATGAACCACAAATTTGTGCTCCGCCACGTGCAGACCACATGGGTGATCTGCAAAAGACTGACCAGCAAACAACCCAACACGGTTTGGGCTTGCAACACCACCTGGGTGATCTGCAAATTGTTGGCCGGTATCCAACAAACCAGCCTGAGAACCTCACCATTCTCTGTGGTCTGACGGCAACTAATATCTGTCTTCACATTCTCCACCGCCAGTTCTATACACCATCAGACTTCCTTGCAATCGCCCTTCAGCTTGATGTTGATCTTCCCCAACTACAGCGAAAGGATTGTAATTATACCAGTGAAGGAGGCTTTACCATTGTTGTCCTACAAGTAGCAATGAGGGACCGTCAACTTGAACTACACAATGCTGGAGCAGGTGAGTGGTTTAGTCCTCCATCTCTGCCTTCATTGTGCACGGCCCTGACCACTGGGAGCTGTGGGACAATGAGGGACCATGGTCCATGCCATGACTGATGTCACTGATTTCTTACAAAATGATGCTGTTTTCTTGCCACAACAAACCGCCCGCAATCTCTTTTATGTCGAAGATCATTCCTCTGGCCCCCTGCTGCAGCAAGACAATGTACCAACACTCTGTGACCTTCTCCGTTGCACAGCCACAAAAACTGTTACACTCGGCTGTAGCCGCCATCGTCTCTGTCACAATCACTACAATGACATCGTTTCTGCATCCATGTGTGCAGAGGACCGTCCCACCATTCCTGACTGCAGACATATATATATATATATAAGGACCCTGCTAGGTCTGAATCAGAAATGGCGCGGCCTTGGCCGCAGGTTGAAGCGACACACCTGCATTGCATTTGCAAGTGCAAACAGATGTGTCTGAACGTGGACGTATTCAACGCCCCAGACGTTCAGCGCCTGATTGAGTGAGTCACATGTGACAAAACAACTTTTATTTAATAAAAAAAAAACTTACAACAACAAACACTCAAGCACACACATATACGGCATATGGACCAAGATTCAAGGACCACCAGCCTCGACACCAACTATGAATCAAAGTATGTCAAGTATCTAATACACTAATACCATACAAATTACCTAAATCCCACACAATCCAACACTAACAGATGTGATAAACACAAACACCCGAAGTATCACACAAACACACACACTAATCTTGACACATACACACAAATACTCCTTTTTTTTCATGCAACAATCACCCCGCACAAATACTCCCTTTTTTTCATGCAACAATCACCCTACTTCTAAACCTGACCAATAACGCCTCCTTTATCAATCAAGCATATACAAACTATGGGCTGCGCACCCGTGCCCTCACGGTAAGTCAATCTCGGGGGCAAATGTCTCGGGGGCAAATG